AAGTCCACGCATCTTAAAGCGGCCAAGTTTGAAAAACACTGTTCAAGCCCATCCTCTCTGTTTTCCTGAACTATTCATTTTTCTTAAAAAATTACTGGGAGTAGGATAATTTATATATATACTTTTTAAAAAATCTGAGTTACTCAGACCCGAGCTTGAGCACCCACAATCCTCCTCTACCCATTTCCTTTGCCCCACTCTTGAGGCCGTCACAGAACCCTGAATATAGGGAACCTGGTTGTTCCACTCCGGTTTCTCTCCAGAAAACCAACACCTGGGCCTGCTGCAGGAGACAAAAACGGGGCTGCACCTGGCCTGTTGTCAGTTGGCGGTGACAAAAGGTCTCTCATCTGGGCATCCTTCAGGCCTTCCACCCACTGACTATCCAGAGTTCGGAGGAGGGGGCAACTCGAGCTGCAGAGCGCAGACACTGCAATCCACGAACATCCAGCCAAATGCAGATCCCGGAGACCTACAGAGGGAAGAACGCAGTGCTGAGCAGATGTGATCCCAGTGGCCCTAACTGGATGACAACTGGGGGGAGCCTGTGGTGTGGGCTCTCACCAGCACAAAGGACCTGCCAAACTCTCTCGGAGGGCATTCGTGTTAGCCCCCAACGGCCCCCGGTTTATTCAGAGTTAAGCTAACTCCCTGTAGCACTTTGGAAGACGGTCAAAACAGAATTTTTCTGCAAGGCTTTTAATTAACTGTGCTTTGGGGGGAGGGGGGTCACTTATACGGGTGCAAAATTAGGGGCATTTGGTTAGGGTTCTTAGGGATTTTGCAGCCCAGGCCGGGGCAAAGTCTCTCGCTCTCTTGCTGTCGCAGAAGAAGTTTGCGCTTCCTTCAGCTCTTGTTCAAGTAGGCCGTTACAGCCGCTATACCAGAGGGAAAATGACACAGGAAGGCAAGGTTTGTGGACAGAAGCCCAATGCAGGCCCCAGAGCATGGGAAGTATTAATTATAATAATAATAATGTATTAAATTTATACGCTGCCCGGCTCTGGGTGGTTTACAAATTGTTCAAAACAGTTTAAAACAAGGAAGCAACAAAAAATAAAGATGGCAGAAATGACCAAACCGGATGGGAGCAAAGAAGAAAAGGGGGGTTCAACCCCCCTCGCCAAAGGCCTGAGCAAAGAGCCAGGTCTCCGGGGCCCTTTGAAACACCCAGTTGGGTGGTATAATGGGCAGAAGGAATAACTTGAGGAACGGGAGGGAGAGCTGCAGTCAGATAAGAGAAACCTGAGCCTGGGGCAGAAGGGTACCCTGAGAAAGCGTCTCAGACATGACCCTCCCTCATTCTCTTGAAGATAAAGGGAGGGAGGGGAGAAGCGCTTTCAGACTTGCAAGTGTCTGTTACTATAATCTTTTAATAAAAGTAGTATTTGATTTCCTAGTCTGGTCTACCCTGGAGGGCTGGTGGGTGGGGGCCATTCGAATCTCTCAGCCCCCTGACCCACAAAAGGCAGCTGCATCTGGACCCCCTAAGCCCACTCCCATCCTCCATCCTGCTTGACTGCCTGGTCTGCCAAAGGCAAGCTTCGCTGAGGGGGACGTACCTGGGAGCCGGCTGATAAGCCAGCTCAGCTGCTTTTTGGATATATTTGTCCAGCTCAGATCTAGCGTGACCGGCTGCCTTCTGATGATACCGCTGAGCATAAGGGGAGTGATGGATTTACAATGGTTGAGGTCTATTTTGGTCCACAGTCTTTTATCACAGCACCTGAAGAAGAGCAGACATGAGGCCTCGTAAGGATGCTGGCCCAAACCTTGGGAAGAAGCATAAGCCTGTACAGTGCCTTCCCAAATTTAAAAAAAGAAACGAAGCCTTTAGTTTGGAAGGAAATAGATCCCAAACCCAGAAGCTGTAACACCTCTTCCAATGTCCATAATCCACAGCTTTGGGAGGCGTTTTTTACACCCAAGGGCAGGGCTTAACTCGGCCCCCTGCTCCGTATTTTAGTAGTTGGTGGCTTGTTCTAATCTAACCATGGTTGGCTAAGCCACGTTGGCAGAGTTCACCCCTAAGGCTAAGCCATCAGTCAGGGCTTATAACGCCCAATATGGCTGGATTCAAAGATGCAGCTTCAAAATAAATAATAGGACGGCGTGGCCCAGCGTGCACGCTCAGCCACTCAATTTCACGGAGCATAAGAGGAAGACATGAGGCCTGAGACAAGCTCGGCATTGATCCTGTTTCTCGCTCACTCCACGTACATGATAGAATTTATTTTATTTATTCCGAGAAGGAGCACATCTCAACCCCTTTTGAAGGAAGACAAGCAGTACAGAAGTTTCCCAGCCAGGTTTTCCAGGCACCGCTGAATTCTCGCCTCCCTTGTCCCTGCTCAGGGTCGCGACCACCGCAATCCTGCCCCCGGTTCCTCGGGGTGAAGGCCCCGATCCCCCCGCGTCCTTACCATCTGTTCCAGGTCCGGCACACCCTCATGCAGATGCAGAGTTCTCTGGGGCTGAGGCAGCCAAAGACGGCCATCCAGACCTCCCTCTGCATCACGTGGGCCGCTCCGTCGTCCAGCAGCAGCGAGTCTGGCGGGGGGCTGATGGGGGGCGGCCGGACGACGTGCCGCTCCATCTGGATGCACTTGGGGGGCGAGAGGGAAGGGGGGGGCCGGGTGATGGCCCGGGGGGCGCTGCTGCGAAGGCTTGACAGGAGCTGATGCCGGAGCTCCCGAGGCGTCCCGTTCAAGCCTTTGCTGATCTGGTGAGGCCGCTCGGGGACCAGCATGCGCTTGGGTTCCTCGTTTTCACTCTCCGGCTCCGACTTGATGGGCTGGTGGTTCTCGTTGGCCAGGCTGTTCTCGGTCTTCTGGATCTCCTGGTTCAGCTCCTTGCTCAGCTCCTTGCTCAGCTCCTTGTTGGGGAGACGAGCTTTCCGCCGGATCTTGAACTTCTTCTTCTCCCGAGACTCGGCCCCTTCAGAGCTGGGCCCTGCAGTGGGCGAGCTTGAACGCGACTGGTCACTCTCCTTGCTTTTCGGAGGCTCCTCCGGAAAGTCCTCCCCAGGCTCTTGCTTGAAGCGCCGCAGAGGCTTGAGGGTGGCCGCCCGGTCATCGGGAGTCTTCCAGGACCGCCTCTAGAAAGGGGAAGCGGGCCTCAATATCAAAGGGGAAGCAGAATCGACCCATGACTGAGCTGAACCAGTGCTTTTCCAACTTGGCAACTTGAAGATGGGTGGACTTCAACTCCCAGAATTCCCCAGCCAGCGTGCATGGACTTCAGCTTCCAGAATTCCCCAGCCAGCG